GAATTTTTCAGGCATTTCAGTAATCAGTTCTCAGAGAGCTGGCTGGAAAAAATAAGAAAAAGCATACGTAAATTATTACCTCCTTTAGCCTTTTGTCTTTAAGTCTTTCACTTCCCTCATGTTTGTGCTGAGAAAATAACAGATTAATTCATTAAATGGACTTATTAATTGAAATTTTTCAGTCAGCTGTTGTAAGTCATAGCTACCAAAAGAGGTTACTCCTCAGTGTATGGCAGACCTAACTGTAGAGTGCTCCTTGACCACAAGCAAAACTAGTTTGGATTTTGATGTGCAAGAGAATATTAAAGTGAAATCTTTGTTTGCAATCTAATAACTGTTCTGAGAGTGATTTCAGTTTGCTTTGTAAGTGGGTTCTTTGCTTTAAATATTACTTACTCGGTTTAAGAAACAGGTCATTTTAGGAAACGTGTTTGGAAGGAAAGGTAGCAATTCAAAATTGAACTTTAAACTGCTGAAGGAAGGAGCCTCAGCGTTGGCCTTTACCTTTCTGCACCGTCCCGCTGAAGTACCAGCCTATAACTTGCTTAGACTTTTTTTTTTTCCATGGTAGAAAGCAGCATCCCTCTAAGGTACAGCACAGCAATTTGGGACAAGCAGAGGCAAAGGGCTGATTTTAAGCTATTTCAGTGCAGAGAACTATTAACACAGTGTAATGGTCCTGAGGCCGCCCCTCATTACTCACCTCGTCTCTTCCCTCGTGCCTGACAAACTCCCCGTAACCAATTTGAACACCACCTGCAGCCTGGCCTACATGTTTTGTCACATCCTGTGATTCATCCTGTCTCTCACACTTCTTTTTTCCCTAATCCCCCATATTTTTCTCCCTGTTGTCATTCTCTTTCTTCAGACCTGTGTATCTCTGTTTTGCCTGCGTGCCCCTTCCCTGAGACACTGCATCCCTTCTTGCCTTACAGACTCCATGTGCTCCTGCCAGCTTTTCCCTCCCCAAAATAACTTACGCAGAGTGTCTGTGCTTCAAATTGGGCCAGGAGTGCTTGAAATTGTGCTAGGATGGATGGAAGAGCTGATGTGAGTGGGGTGGGAGTGAGAGAGGCCTGCTGGACTCGCTTTGGTTCCTACCTAGGTAGTTACGGAGCAGTGGAAGCCTTTGGCCACCAGAGTAATGGGCTTTTGTATCTGGCTCTTTGTGCCCCCAGGTTTTCATCAAAAAAAGGATTAAAAAAAAAAGAGAAAAAAAATCTTTGGGTTATTATTATGTTTTGGAATAATTAATGTTTGATATCAAAAGCCATTATGGTAGGAACAGAGGAAATGGAGTGTCCACTTTCAGATTTGTCTAGAGGTCTCTTGAGGCTTCTTGAGCAAATTAAGTTTACCTGAGTAGTTGTGCAGTGCTTCAAAATCAAAGTAATAAGAATTGAGACATTTTTAAATAACGGGCAATTTGGGGAGAGCATCCTGGGTAGTTTCTAGGGAAAAATACAATTCTTTGAGACTTTGATGGTGTCTCCTTATGCAGAAAGGGTTAAGGAAAGCTGATCAAGTCATAAAATACTACTGAAATCTTGAACTCATTTTGCATGCCCAGAAATCCAGGGTGGTTGTTATAGCATCTGTTTAGCTGCTTCTGCAAGATAACCTTTTAGGATATATGTTGTTTGATTTCCCAGCTGAGTTTCTACTAAGTGTCTTGAAATACCTTGGCTTGCCAATAGTATTCCCTATTGAGATGATAAAGCTTTAACTATGTGTACTAAATCATGAACTTTCACACCCCTTTCAATGTCTATTATAGCCAATAAATTCAAGATGACTTGGGGCTCCCAACATTGGTTTTTCATGCCTTACAGTCTAAATGAAACTAGTGTCTGTGAACTTTTTTTTTTTTTTTTTAAAAAAAGACATTCTCTTAACATTTTTATCTAAGAAATCAACCTATGTTTTTGCAGTCCTTAGAGATTTCAATTACAGTGCACTGGTTTCCTTAATTAGTTTACCTGTTAAGCTGTAACCTGTAGTTATATTGAACTGCATGATTCACTAAATCACAAGCACAAAGATAAATTAGGACTTCTATATTAAATAAATGTGTTAAAAATAATTAAAGCTTTTTTGTGTGTGTGTGCAGAAGCTGAAGCAAGGAATATATGCTAGGGAATAGGCTGGGATGTTAGAGCAAAATAAAACAATTTAAAATAGTTTCCAGTATGCAAAATGAATTTTGTCCTGCCTTAGTAGTTTGCCTTCCTTCAGATACTTATCCTACAGATACAGAAATTATGAAAAACACTTGCATTTCTTATTTCTTCAGAGATGTACTGCATTGTCAAAACTGGTCTGGTAGGTGCAGAGTTATCTTTATCCATGGCTTTAGTTTAAAAGTAGGAGTCTGATTACTTCCTGCAGAGTTGTGATGATAGTTCCAGCATTACACTGCCTAAAAACCTGCTGCCAGAACCAGCTAGAATTTGGTTACATACGGACAGGCAGGGCACTTGGACAGTACTCCGAGCCCCTCACACTCTGAAATGTGCCAGTTTTGCAGTGTCTTCTGTTCATCATCATCAAAAGTAAGTGATTTACAGTGGTAATCAAACACTTAATTATAATCCAATAAGATCAGATATAATATTTCACTCTTGGGAATATAATATGTTAAAAATTGTATGGGATCTGTTAGAAAAATCTCGTGTTTTGTTAGTGATGACTGTCGTCTGAAGTCTTGTTCAAAATCACCTGTTTCTGGTGACTCTTCTTGATTTCTTCAAAGTTGCACCATTTTTATGGATATCGTGGCAGATTTCTCAAAATTGGTACTCTTCGCCCAGAATGAATTGGGGGAATCCTTACTGTAATGATGCCCTCAAGCAAAAGAGTGTGGGGTGAGCAGTGCCAAGTCCAGCTGGAGGCCAGTGCCCAGAGCTGGGCCCCAGGCATCGGTCCTGGGTTCAGCACTGATTAACATCTTCGTTAACGAGCTGGTCAGTGGGATAGATGGAGTGCACTTTCGGCAAATCTGCAAATGATGCAAATTGATAAAAATGATGCACGCACACACACACGCACACACAAAATAAATAAAGAGTGGTTGGCCACATGGACGATGGACGTGCTGCTATGGAGAACATCTTTGACAGGCTGGAGAAATGGGCTGACAGGATCCTCACAAAGTTCAAGAAAAATAAATCTTTTTCTCTCCCTTCCTTGGAAATGGTGAAAAAAACATCTGGAGATGGAGTTGCTCTAGTTGATCCTATGGATCAGCTTGGAGAAGTTGATCCCCCCCTTGGAGAACAGAGTGTGATCTCTAGAAGTCCCTTCCAACCTCAGCTCTTTTGTGAATATTGGATGAGGAGCCGGTCCTAAAGTCAGGCAACTTGTAGCCTTGCTAGTCACTAAGCACGCTGAAAATCAAGTGAGTCGATCTGTCCAGTTCTTTACACTACTCCGTTGGTGTATTTTTATTTCTGTTGTTCTGCTTATTTCTTTTGGAGGACTTGAGCCTTTCTTTTTCTTTTGAGGAAATGAACCTTATGTTATTTGTCTGTCTTGCCCATATAAGTTAATCTGTGCATTTTCCAGTCTTTGGATGCTTGTTTTTATTGAAGACTTTGACTCCAGCTACCAGATCCTTACACCGATTGGCCAATTTAAAACATCCTAGGTGGAAATTTGGGGATTTCAATGATATTTACTTGCCTGTCACTTTGGGGAATGAGTGTCTGTAGAGATAAGAGGAATTCCTAACAAGCCCCAACCAAAGAAAAGCCTTATAAGCTACTTTTGGGGGAGGAAACATTCACTAGACAGCTGGATCTTCTCACAAATATTGAGAGTCCTTAGTAGAAGTCTCCTTTCTTCTAGGACTCAGCAAATTTAGAGGACAAAGACATTATGACTGTCTTAGTGTGTGAAGCTTCAATTCTAAGTTCTAATCAACTGTATTGAAATCCAAATGTCATGAGAAAAATGGAAATATGATTATATTGCCTGCTGCCTGTGTGATAGTCACTGGTCTTGCTTTAAAGATAAGTGTTCCCTGGTGCCCAGCTTACACCTGAATTTACTGCTCTTGGCTGGAGAACAAAGTCGTTTGCCATCGATTCTCGTCCAGCTTAACTCACGATGCCAAACACTAAGATCAATAATACCTTTAGTGAAGGGGCAAATGAGGTATCACTGCCAAAGCTCCTGCAAGCCCAGCTACCAGCCGGAGGTTTCGGTGCTTGGTTTCTTGTTTCTGAGCCATGCTCTTGCTCCGTTCTTCTAAGCACCGAGTTTAAAAGTGTGAGGAAAGGTTTTTCCCTATTAATGAACGAAATCTTAGTGTTCTGTGAGTATCGTGCTTATGTGGGAGGTTTTCCTAGAGACTGTGAGTATTTATCATGTAATTGGCAATATGTACGTGAAATAATTTCAGAAAAAAAACGCAGCAAAAACAGAATTGCAAAATCTGCAGCTGTATTAAATTATACTTAACGCCCTATGCAAGCAAAAAAACCTTTTTATTTCATTTTCTGAACAGTAGCATATTCAGTTAATTTTACATTTTTTTTTTATGAAGTAAATTAAGATTCAAAATTTGCCTTTCGCTAGAAGCATTTTTTGCAATTCTGATGCTACAGAGCCAATTTACAAAGTTTCAAAATGTATCGTGGTATTAAATTATTATTTTTTTCCCTTTGGTCACTGGCCAGTAGACTGTGCTGGAAACCATGGTAACAGAAAGCACTATTCTGGTGGCCCAAGAACTTAAGCAAGCTGAGATTGTCTCAATAATATAATGATAAAAAAGAATAAAAGGAGAGGGAAGGAGGGAGTGAGTTAGAGTAATGACCTGTTGAACAAAACCAGTGGATGCACAAGCAGAGAGGTATCAATGCATGAGTGATCATGAACCTCCCGGTGTCATCCCCAAAGTGAAGGTGATATACTGTGGGCTTTAAAGAGTAAAGGAGGCAAAATGAATTCAGCAATTTGTCTTTAAATTCTTCCTTCCTTTCTCTGTCGTTTGGCAGGTTTATATTAGGATCAAGGATGATGAATGGAATGTGTATCGAAGGTACGCAGAGTTCAGAAGCTTGCACCACAAACTGCAGAATAAATACCAGCAAGTGAGGACTTTTAACTTTCCACCAAAAAAAGCCATTGGAAACAAGGTACCTAAAAGAATACCTAATATCAGTAAGGGTTGGGGAGGGGTTAAAAAACAAAAAACAACAAAAAAAAATTTGCCTGCACACAAAAGAAAGAGGTGGTTATCATAAAGAATTTCCTTACGCCTCCTAGGCAGTACCTGGTATTTTTATACAGACTTTCTCCTCGTTACCTACATTTATTGTGTAATATTCCACCGACTTACACTCACTGAAAGAAAACTGTGTTTATTAAATGGTATATTGATGACACAAACAGTAAACAGAGTCCGAAATACTGTGCTTAATAGCCGTGTGTATAAGATGGAATCTCTCCTCTATTCTTTTCAATAAATGCCAACAGTTAACACTATTGAGGAATTCCTGCAATGTTACTGTAAACTATAAAGTTATCTGTCTAAATTCCGTAGATTTCCTGTGATGCAGTTATTTTAAGCTCTTTGAACAAGGTTTTAAAAAGTATTTGGGCGCATAACTCCCTACATCTGGGTCTTTGTGTCTTAGTTCTCTATCTGTAATTACTGTTTTCAGTTAATGTCTTATCCTTTTTATCCCAGCTTCTGATAGATTGATTAATTTTTCATGTAGTGGTGCAGCCTCGGTAACTATTCCTTCTTATTCCTTTATTTTGTACTCGTTTAAGCTGTTTCATTCAGTGCTGGTTCCTCGTAACAGTATTTATCGGCTGCTACAGTAGATATGCAATTTAACACACTTAAGCTACCACTTTATCAGTTTCTCACCTATATCCACTGTTAGACTAAATAATCTTTAAAAAATAAGAAGAATTTGGATATTTTATTAAAGGGAGTAGTTATTAAAAAGTAATTGAGTTGACACGTAGTGACATTCAGATCTTTGAACTTTACATATGTACATATCATTTTGTGATTCCGTAAGTTACTGATGTGCATTGACAAAGAAGTCAGTGTGCCAGTGCTTGATTCTTTGCTTTGATGTCAGTTTGTTAGTGTTCCGCTTTAAAACGGAAAAGAAGAAAAATAAAACGTCAAGTTTTGGGTTATTTGCATTTTAAAAAAAATAAGTCTGTATAAGAAAAAGCTTGGACTTTTTATCTGTGTTTGATCTGCTCTGGCTTCAGACAAATTATGAACAGTGAAATTGTTACTAGTACTTTACAGATGCTAAAATAAAGAGCATCATTAACAGAAGGTTATGTAATCACGGAAGTGTTAAAATGTTTAATAGCTTAAATCAAAGGCTAAAATCTGCAATATACAGCCTGGGTCCAGGGAGGACTGAGGAGAGATGTAATCGGAGTAATTCATCTTCAGAGTTGAGGAGCGTTCTGGAAAATGTATTTAACACAAGTAAAATATTTGAAATTCAAATTATGCTCATGACTTAAACTTACATACTAAGCCACGGAGTTACCTAAATCATCATTCCTATTGTTAACCCAGTTCTTTTCCTTCTCGGTCAGATTTTATACTTTACATTCTTTTCATTTTTGTACCTTAATGCTCACTGGTCTTAAACACCTCAAACGTAATGATCATAATGAACAGTTTTCATGATAAAGGAAGGCCGAAATAATGAGCCAAATCCTTGCCAGAAGTTTTGTATTTCATATCTTCAGGACGTGTTTGGCTTATGACCACATTAATACTTCTTTTGGTAAAATGTCTGAATTATTCTAATTTAATTTCTCTTGCAACTTGGTGCCGGCAAGGCAAATCACCATTGTTAATTCCTACAAAGTGATATAAAATTCCACCCTCTCTGCAAAAGAGGAAAAAATCACATTTACAAATGCCTTATTGGCACTCAGATTGAAGTGAATAATGGCTATGAATCCCCCTTCTCCCTATATCACCCCAATGCTCCCATGAAAATTTGTGTGTGAATTTGGTGCACATGATAGGAAGTAAGAGGCAATGTACATAATTTGGAAGAAGAGATGATGCCCGTATATATTGAAATAAAATCTGTAGGTCTGTTTATTGACATAAATAAAGTCCAGAGTTAATATATTTGCTGGCTAGTGATAGAGTGTTAAATGAAACTGCTTCGGAAAGTTTTTCTGCTTTTTCATGTGTTAGAAGATTATGTATTTTTTCATTACTTTTCTACTGGATAATTTTTATAACAGAAATAATGCATTTTGCTCTGTGTTACATAACCGATTTTGGTTTTTGAAGTGGTAGAGTATCAGCCACTTCAGTAAATTATAGAAAGATATTTTTGAGCTTTCTGATATTCTTTCATCCTTAATTATTTTAAATACTAATTTAATTTTAACTTCAGTTGTACGATTGAGACTTAAAACATGAATCATTGAGCAGTTCAGTCGAAAACTCGCACTGCATTTTTGTTCAGTGCTTTAGCTTGCTGAATTTCTGCCTTCATCCTACATAAAACTGCAGTCACTTGGTCTCATGTGAGGTGTCTAGGGAAAAAAAGTAACTATTCTTTGCAGTAAGCAATGGATGTTGTGCATTCTGCTCCTGAAGAGTCCTGCGAGGACCCGTGTGCCGGGACATGCGTGGTGCTGCTCAGGGTTAGGCCCTGGGAACCTGCTGCAAGTCACATAACTGAGACCTGCCAAGGGTTTGCCTTGATATATGGCAGCAAACCCTTCCTGAAAGGATCCCATCGTCAGGACTGTGTTGTGGTATGTGTGGGGTATGGATGGCAGTCCATCGCACTTCGTGAACAGCTATCCTAAAGATGGAGCAGAAACAGTGGCCCCTTGGAAAACATCAATGCGATCTTTGATCAGTGCGTGGAAGAACACTTTCTGTAGTTAAATCCTGCTAACAAAAGCATCTCCATTCAGTTTAGGTCAGTCTATAATTTCGATATCCTTCACAAATCTGTAGCATTATTAGGAGCCTGAATAGCATGTTGGCAGAATCACAGAATCACGTTTCTACACGTGGTAATGACTAAAAAAAAAAAAAAAAAAAAAACACAAGGGGAAAAAAAATGGGTGGTTTTTTTTTCCTTTGGGTCTCTACCTGAATGGTGTTATTCACTGTCCATCTTCAGCACCCTGTGCTCAGCACTGGGATGCTAATAAGGTGATGTGCTGATTCTAGATGTTAGTGCCCTAAATGAGGCCTTTCTGTCACCGATAGCTCCCTCGATGGCCATACTGGGTTTGTTGTTGCTCAGGTGTGTGCACAGGTTTGGGGAACGTCCAGGGCCACGGACAGGACACCTTGTTCCAGGGAATGACTTTGAGCCCACGCCGCAGAGTCGCAAAACACGATCCTCTAGGTTGCTGTGCAAAAGGGGAGCTGGCCCAAAGGACAGTCACAGAGGAGAGAAACCATGGCGTGCTATTAAATTTCCTGCCTACTCCAGTAGGAATCAGGGGAAGTTACTGCAAAGTTGCTGCACTTGACATGAACAAACCGCAGAAAGAAAGCAGTGTTTGTGCCCAATGAGGATTTAGAAGAAATGAGAAAATTAAATGTTTATTATTGCTGATATAGTTTCCTTGAGTGGTAGTGAAACCGGAGACATTTAACAATCACAAAACAAGAGAATAAGAATGTAATGTTATCATAATTATTATGGTTCTAGTGCATTTTTACCTTTCAGTTGTTTTTTTTAGGGCAGTTTGTCGTTTTGCTTTTGATCTTTCCCCAAATCTATGTATCTAGAACTGGAAGCCAGCTTTAATGCTCGAGAAACTGGAAACATCGAGTATACAGAAAACTGCCCTAATAATGTAGTCACAGATGAGCAGAAAGTGAACAAGGAATAGGAGAGAGGTTGGTGTTCGACAGCTTTCATGTACGAAAAAGAGTCTGTATTTGGCTTTCAACTTAGTAACTTCATTTTCAGAATCTCAGTTTCTACATTTGGATGTAGAGCTAATTTAAAGCAGTGAAAAAGATCATTTGACTTAAATGTTTTTCTAAATAGTAAATTTAATTACTAATGTGTGTAATTTGACAGGAAATAACAGCTTTATAAAACATTTTATAAAACTCCACAGTCTTGATTACTAGCTCCCGTACTGTGTATTTTCTATGAATGATCTTTTAGTGCTGCTAGGAAGTTGTTGTCAAAATATTTATAAAAGTCCTTACAAGAATACGTGTTCTTCTTTCATTGATTTTGTGGAAAGCAGTAAAACAGAAAGCAGGGAAGTTGTGTTTGTTCTCTGCTGTTATGCCTGTACGAGAAGAGTGTTCTTAGTACTAAGTTACTCATTGCATGTTTTTGTACCTGATTTTTTTCTTCTAACTGCAGATCAATATATGCACCATTTGTGAAGCTGAACTGCATCTGTAACACTTGAATTGCTCAATTTGTAATTTTAAATATGCTCCTCTTATGTCAACCCGGTTTTTGGCTTTCTGAATATTTTCTATGCAGGTGTATATAAGAACACTCGAGTTTTTTGCATGGAATAGATCCTCTCCTTTTAGCTAGCCTCGGGGCTCCCGGAGCCTGGGAGTTTCCCGCGTGTCCTCGTGGTCCCGGTCTTCGTGGCGGGCGCTGCCGTCCTCCAGGTCCGGGTGTCGGGAGGGCCGACGGGCTGCCCTGAGCATCTCCAGGGCTGGAGAGTGCCCGGTTACGTGGGCCAGTTCCAAAGGCCCTGGAGAGAAGCTTCCCATGATCGCAGCACTTTATTATAACAGGATCCATTTATGCTTTTGTATAAAAATTAGTCTTTTTCTTCCTTTAAGATGTTCTTGCTCTTAATTTCCAAACCTTTTATTCTTGCTGCTGGGCTGAGGCCTCACTCTTTGAAATACTGCTTTCAGTTTCAGGGTTAAATGATACCGCATGAGCATTTCTTGCACCTGTTGTTCTAATTTTTTGAATGTTGCAGTGTCCTTAAGCTCATTTGCTGCTTATGTATTAGGCAGGTTACCTAACGAATGGATTTTGGGAACGGAGTGAAGATCTGACAAAGTCTCTTATTGCAAGGGTATGGTCCCAACAGAGGACGTATCAAAATAGAAACGGTTCTTTGCTTCTACTCAAGATGTTAATTCAGTGGTTGTCTAAACGTGTAGAAG